ATTTCTAAGTAGGTAACAGCAAGTGTCATCATAGGAATATATAATTATTTTACAGTTATTACAAGCTGCTTATTTCTAAATAAAGTATTTCTAGAAGACAGGAACAAACTTTACAATTCACATAGGTTAGTAGAGTCAGTGCAACAGCTGTGAAGAGAGTCGGCGGGAATACCTGACTGTCCTCCTGGGAATATRCATAAATGCCTATGAATAGGCATYAAGCTGATGCAATACGAAATKTATTTAAAGAYGTCTYCTGTCAATASCAGGCKTGCCTCTGGCAGATCGCCAAGCACCCGACGTCGTCTTCTTTTKCTTTTASRTACCCTATTGTCATTTATTAAAACCTTTTAAATTTGATCAGGAGAGYGATTCTCGTTTTTCACMGGTGGCACTGCGGCTGGCTGCCGCCGGTGTGTTTTGTGAGGGAGCCGTGCCTCCCGCCCGCCATGGCCCGAGCGGCCCGCGCCTCATGAGGGGGCAGAGACAGCGGGGCTGGAGCCACAGCGCCACAGCGCCACAGCGCCCCCTGCAGCCGCATCCGCGCCACCGCACCGTGCCCGCCCGGCCACAGCCACCAGCGCCCCTGCCGGCCGGGACCGGAACTGCACCGGGGGTGACAGCCGGAACGGGGACATTGGATTGTTCTGTTTGTTGTTGCTGCCGCTGTTGTTTGTTTGTCTTGATATATGTATGTGTACACACATAGTGGTAAAGAACCGTTATTTTCCTGTATCTTTGCCTGAAAGCGCCATTGTTTCAAAGTTATAACAGTTTGGAGGGAAGGGGGTCATATTCTCCATTCCAGGAAGGTTCCTGCCTTCCTGGGCAGACACCCGTCTCTTTAGCCAGGACAGACAGCTAAAAACAGCCCAGATCAAAAGCAACAGAGGCAGTATTTGTACAAGAAGACCATTTACACTGACTACATTGTGCTGGAGCCATTGCCTGGAGTYAATGCCTTGGTGGTTACTCACAGCTCCACACACAGATTGTAGAGGATTTTGTATCTTCACTGTCATAACCACTTCGCTTTTAAACCAAGCTTGTGCCCAAAATGCTTCTCTAGGCCTCTTCGCCAGTACCACATCATAGAGGTTATACTTATTTTCTAAGATTTTAGAAGATACAAATCTTTCTCCAGATTTAATATTACTCTTTTAGACAACAGAATCCATAAGAATTGCAAAACAATTTTTTAGCAACAAATTCAAAACAGTGCTTTCATATAGCTGTTAACCAAAATTCTAACAGCTGTTAGCTAAAATTCCTCTGAGGTGAGGAATTGCAGAGCAGGGGGACTGTCAGGAGGAAAAGCAACATAAATAAAAAAGTGCTACAATTACTAGGAAAGAAATAGCCACCCAGCATTATGTCATCCTCAGTGGGTCTACATCTTAAAAATCTTGTGTGGTTCTGTTCATCCCACCTGGTGAGAACAGGGCAGAACTAGGTCAGGCACATAGCAGGAAGASTTGGGTCAGAACTGTTCACCCTGGACAGCAAATCATCGGGGCAGGAGGGAAAGAACAAAACAGTGAATTGTCAGATCATGGGCTGATTGCAAAAGCAAGAGGCTGCTCTTGCCACACCAGAACTAAGACAACACATTAACCTGGAAAGGTGCAGAGCAGTAGGTAGCGGAAGGAGATGCTTCATATCATCCATTTCTGTGCAGCTGTTTKTACATGATGCTATGGGAAGGTTATATGAGTTCTGAAATCAGCTCCTGGGAGACAAGAAAATCTGCCAAATGCTGTTTAACTACAACACTGACACTGYTGGGGAAGAGAGTCCCAGAGCAGAGGATCAAAGTGTAATCTAAGGATGAATCACAATGTACTTCATGTAATTCATAACAAAGCTTTCTTACCCCACCCTTCCCTATGAAACTGGTGCTTACTAGTCACTGTCATGCCAGTGCACTTGAGTACATGGACCTTTGGCCTAATCCAGAGTTTTACTTTCCACAGACTTGGGAGATAAGAAATGAATTTGTTTCAGCAACAGCAAAAAAGCATAAAGCAACACAGAGCAAAAAGGCATTGAGCACACATCTGCCTCTAATATATGTAAGCACCACAGCAACCAGGCTGTTAACTACACAGCTGCACACAATTTGCAGGCATTTTCATGTTCATGTGCGCCAATATGAAAGATCCCTAAGAACTGTGAGCAGTTTTAGGAGGGTGCCTGGACTTAACCCCCACATTTCCACATTCCGTCACAGTGCATCCAGAAGTCTTCCTCCCTTTTACATAAACTTGCAGAAAGTGAAAAGGCAGTCAGTGGGAAGAGTCCCTGAAGCCTGYGAGCAGAGCTGACTGGCACTGTAGAACTCAGCTTAAAGACATCCAAGAAACTGATACA